ACGCACGCACGCACGCACCCACACACACGCACGCACGCACCCACGCACCCACACACACACACCCACGCACCCACCCACCCACGCACGCACGCACGCACGCACGCACGCGCACGCACGCACGCACGCACGCACGCACGCACGCACGCACCCACGCACCCACGCACACACACAGAGAGAGAGAGAGAGAGAAACACACACAGAGAAACACACACAGAGACGCGCACACACACACACAGAGACACACACAGAGACACACACACACACCGAACCGCAACAAACACTCGAAATACTGAAGCCTGCTTCTGCCAAATTCTGACGAATTCCGCCGATTTTCTGCTGCCTTTTTTTGTCCGCAAAAGACTGAAAATTGCAAAAAAACACGCTGCCACGGAACTAAAAACGCCGCCAACAACAACAAGGCACCTTTTCCAAAAAGGCAGACACATCTGCCGATTTGGGTGGTCCGGGTATATGCATCCCTGTATGAAGCCGAATTTGTGGGCTAATTGAACGTTAGCTGTGGCTTACTTCTTGGAAATGAGCCCTCGAAGGGTCCAAAATGGCCATGGGTTCATGTATGGATACAATCAGCTAAACTTTCAGTGCAGCTAGGACGTCACTTTGATGAATTTTGGCTTTGCGCGCCCGCTCTATTCTCGGCTCGCAGTGAGTCTCGTTGACACCGCCGGTTGCATTCGCCTTTCATCACCATGGCTGAGCTTGAGGACTTCTTATGACCGAAGGGGGAGCGATACTGTGGATGGTCGCGAAATCCATTCGCACCACGAAGTGAAGCCATAATTGAAACCACGTTTGTACCTGAAACCTCAAGTAGGAACAAGTTCCAGTTGTTTTGCTTATTTGCTTGTTCAGGATTGCGAGAATTCCGGAGCATGCGCGGCCATGCAACTGGCTATTTGTGTGTTTGCATGTTTTAACCAGCCCTGCTGGACATATATTGCAGATCGGGCCGGGGCATCGGTGGAGTCTGCGGGACATATTCGGACAGTGGAAATGCACGGGAATCCGCGGAACCGCCAAATCCGAGTAAGCTTTTGTGGCTGGGGGACCATAGCATTGAATTTGTATTCATCTTTTTTGTTGCGGAAGCAAAACGTGTCTTTTTGATAGGCATGAGTGCCTTTCGCTGCTCATGTTTGTTCCTTAGGAGCATCTGGGCCGTTTGGTAGCAGAGACACCCTTTCCCTTTTGTTTGGGGTGTTGTGGTCTTTTGCGTGTTCTTTTTGAGGGTACTTGTTTGCTTTGGTTCTAAAGGCTATGGCCAAATTAAGGAAATCCCGCCAAAAGGAGTCACTTGCTCCACTGGAATTCGGTCAAACAGTGTGCAACACCCTCGAAACAGGTCTAGGCGAACTGGCCTTGACAACCCCAAACCTCAGATGGATTGTGTTGCATCATTAGGAGCGGGAAAATGGTTGTCTTTTCTTGGGGCCCCTCAAAAAATTGTGGTTTTCCTTCAACTGGGGTTGGTGTTATGGGTGTCCATATGGCGCTTAGCGCTCTCCGCGGTTTTGCCTAATTCACACGAGCCTGCCCCGTAAATACGAAGACTTTGAGTGGTACTGTGGATGGGCGAAAACCATATCGCATCACCTAAGAAACCCTGTCATGATGCTTTGCCTGTGAAAACCAACAAACAACGGTTTCCCATGGTTTCAAATGGTGCAGGATTTTGTCCACCCACAGTAGGTCCTTTTTTTTGCACCTCCCCTTGGGTGTACACCATCAAGATTGTTTTTGAAGGGAAAAAGGACACTGACATGAACAAAACGCGATTTACCCATGGTGTTTGGTCGAGCGCGGTTAGACTTGCAACATGGCAGCGGCATCCGCCGGAAGTTGAAATTCACGCGGCCGCAAAGCGACCAAATTGCCCCCTGCTGGTTATGGTCCCTGTGTTCTCTCATTGGAGTGGACTCCGGGTGGAAAAACACCCAGTTGTCCAGTGGTGACCTTTTTCCCCCGTTTTTTTTGGGGGGAAGGGTTCCCTTTTAGCTCCACCACCAAAAAATGGAGGCCCCTTTTTTCCCCCCTGGAAATCCACTGGGCATCTGAGAACCGAAAAGGAGGCGAGCCGCGAGCGGCGAGCACTCGGTTTTCAGGACGAGGAGGTCGCCGCGCCGGAGGTGGAGAAGGAGGAGGACGTCACCGACCTCAACGGAGCCGTTCGAGGCGTTTCGGCGAACCGGCGCGGGCGAACCGCCGCGGGCGAACCGCCGCGGGGGGGGGGGGGGCGACATCCATTTCGCAGCCAAAGTGAAACCATGGAGTTGAAATCAATGTTTGTTTGGGGTCATTGTTTGTAGGTGACCAAAGTTTGCAAGTTAAAGGGTGTTTCCCTTTCACCTACCACTTAGGGGGTGCCTTTCACAATGATAATGTAATGGGGTCCAGTTTGTTGGTATGTACGTTGGGGAATTATTAGAAACCGGGGTTTCTGAACGGTGGTGTCCATCCACAGTATGGCTTTGGTCTTCATTTCGGTTCCCCTTGAAAGGCTGTTTTCAGGGTAAATTTCAAGAAAAAGACACCATCTGTGAGTTATTATGAATGGCTGGAATCAAAGGGAATCCAGAAAGAAGCCAACCAAGATAGAATTGGCCACTGCTGAAAAGGGCTCCCCAGATTTCTCTTTTTAATAATTCAACTCGTCACCTTAGCGCAAGGTGAGTTTCCCTGAAGCGGGTCATGCTGATTGATTTGTTGTTTGCCCAAAGGTATGTCAGACTGTTTTGGCTGGGGTGGCGTGGACTAGGGAACCCGGAATCAGGCAAACCCTGAATGAGGTGAAGCCCTGGCAAAAGGGGAAACCACCGGACCCCCGCCAAACGAATTCAGCTTCACCATTTAAAGACAGAAGCTGATTCACTCCAGTGTCCTATTCTTATGGCCCCACTTGTTCAGCCGATTCCCCACTCCTAACCGCCGATTTTAGACGCATCTTATTTTCGGGGAAGCACCGGAACGCCTCCAAACCAATTCGCTCCAATGTCCTAAGGGGAAGCTGAGAGCTGAACAAATCCAGCGGAGTCTCGTGCCAGGTGTCCTGAAGCAGGCGCTGAAGGTGGACGGGGTGATCCGCGGCCTGCACGAGGTCGCCAAGAACGTGGAAGCCGCGCAGGCGATTTCGCCCGCGGGTTGAGATCGTCGAGATCATCGTTTGCGGGTGAGGTGACCCGCCGGAAGCGAGCCGAGGTCCCCGTGTTTCCCTTTTTGGCGGGTAGTCCACTTTGCTGGTGCGAGAGATGCAGGGAATGAGAAGGACAGTTAAAAATCATCCAACGGGTGGTTTCCTGTCAGGGGACCCCGAGGTTCATTCCCACATTTTTTACTGAGCGCCAGCAAGTAAAGAACTGTTTTGCCAGTTTAAGCCTAGATTCCCCGGGTTCATGGTTTTTGTCGGTCTTTAGTAAGCCCGTAGAAGGTGAGTTTGCCTTTTGTAGCCCTGTCGAATCGAGGGGATGCCGAATCACGAGCAGCAAGGAAAAACTCGGGGAACTGAAGGTTAGGGGAGTCATGGATGCAACGGTAGAGAGAGAGAGAGAAGGTTAGGGGACAGGCACAAGTTGATCTATGCCGATGGCAATGCCCATTTGGCTCAAGAACGGATGCCCAGTTTGTTGAAAACACGGTTTAGTCACGCGCACCGGTCCGTGGTTAGTAAAGGTCCCTGTTTATGGTTCGCTTGGTTTGTTTTCCTGTTGAGTGGTTTTGGGGCAGGCTTTCAGTGTCAGGTTTTGATCATGACTTATGACTCACGGAGCCGCCTCTAATTTTCGACAACCCCCAAACATGAGGTTTGGCCGAAAGTGACAACCTGTTTCAACCACACAACCAGAAGCACTCACTTTTTGTGTAGACAATCCATGAGTGTGAGTTGTTTTCATATCTTTTTTGGGCTGGTTATAACGGAAGGCCAAAAGGATTTCGCTGTCAATGAGACAACCCCACAGGACCTGAATCTCAAAACAGTTCCTATAGGAGTCTTCCCCGGCAAGAGTGATGCTCCTGCGATTATTTCGAGCCAGAATCACTCACATGGGTTCCAACAGATGTCCAAACAATTGCTAATAGTCACCAATAGTTTACTGTACAATACTACAGTCATGTCTTACTGCAATCTGGTTTCAAAGTGCCGCACAACCCCATTCAAAATATTTAGGCCCTGAAAGTACTCAGTGTTCACTGGCATGAGTGACGCTGAAATAATTCCATTTGGAGATTCGACGACTCTTCTGCTCACCACGTGGCGCCGGGGAATATACTCCTGCATGTCATAATCGCTGTGCTGGGCTTCGTGCATCAGCAACTTGTTCATGACCAGCACTCTGCAACTCTAAGTCAAAAACTCTAAGTGTCAAAAAGCAGTCAACCACTGACTCTAAACAGTCAAAACTCTATTGTGTTTCCCCATGTCCAAAACTCCAAGTGCTGTCCAAAAGCCGTCGTGGAACTGTCAGGAGACAAATGGGCGTGAGCTTTGAAGGTACCCTTATGGCGTAAAGGGAAACCAAAAGGGACCAAGAAAACCTTCATTGGCACACATGAATCCAGGCAACACCAAATAGAAATCTGAAAAGGTTGGCTCAGAGGTATCTTACAAATAGAAGGTTAGCTTAAAGGTTGAAGAACCAAATAGAAAATCAAACGAACACCAACGAACAACACAATCGCCGATCTGCAAGGCGCAGGTGGTCTTCCTGGCTGAGTCCTGCAACGAGGTCTTCGCCCCGGCTGTGTGTTTTTGAGCCTTTGGCGGGTTGGTCTTAAATGAAGCCAAAGGAAGCTTGTTTGTGGTGGTCACCAACCTGTGGCCATTTTCCATCCGGGCTGTCGTGTGTCGGCGTGTGCTGCAAACACCTCACAAAATCTGACCAGTAGGCGCCTCCCCTGGAAGGTGGTGAGATAAGTTAGGTCGTTTTTGAGCCTCATTTGGGGCGGCTTGGTCTAAAAGGAAATCAAAGGAACACCACAAATGGGGTGTGGGTCAACAAGTTGTTATCCACCAGACCGAAGGTTTTCGTCCTTTTATGTCCTTTTCATGTGCCAGGCCAACCCCATGTGGGTAGCTATTCTTTTGACCTACATCAAAATAGGGTTGTGTATTTTTGAGCCTTTGTACTCATTTGGGGTTGGCTTCAAATGACCCAAAGGAGCGCCACCTTGAGCGAGGGATTTCCCGGAACCAAGCGACGAGGCATTTCGTCAGACGGCTTTGTTTGCTCGTAGCGTTCTCAGCTGTAGAGTTGTTTTGGTCAACCAGATGGAAGACAGGCTTTGACACGGCCAGATTCGATTCTCCGGGTGGAAACTGAAAGGTGCTAGCTCTGGGGAATAGACCAAGGCAAAGGAATATGCGTCTCTGTGCTTGTGCTCTCGGGGATATTATGTCCGTGGTGTTCACCATCAGCCGTTTCTCATTTGGCTTTCACAAAAAACAATCCCTAAAAAACAAAGACCTGTCGCGGGTCAGAGAACAAATCAAAAACTGGCAAAATAATTCTCAGAGCAAAGGAACCCGACACGTCGGGCCGATTTTCTTCGGATGCCTTTCTTTCATCTCGCTGCCCTTCCTTGGAGGCCAAGTTCGGCCAAATGCAAAGGCAAGATGCTGAAAAACCATAGGGGCTCCTCATGAGCACTCCTCATAGATTTCCTAATTTCCTAATACGTTTCCAAAAATAGGGACTATCTATGAGAGTCCTCATGTGTTTCCGAAAATAGGGACTCCTCATAGATTTCAAATTTCGGATTCCGTTTGCGCCGGCCAGAGTCCCTTTTAGATTGTTTGGTGTTTGCGGCAGATGTTGAGAAGTCCTCTTCTTCAATATTCCACAGGAGATCCGCAGGTTCGCCACCTCCAAGCCGTTTTCTGGAATATCTTGCTGGTTCTCAGCAAGAAATGACTTGGAATGACACCTATAAGCTTTATACCATCCATCCTATGGTTTTTTTCCGGGTATCCCCAAGAGGTTCATTCCCAAATAGGGAACGGTCATTTCCTACCAGGGTTGTGGGATCAAGGGGTTTGTTTGTCTCCACTTCTGTGATACAAGGGAATCTGCCCCTTTATGCGGGGGGTTAGTCTTCGGGAAGCCCTTCTTGTTGTATCACAGAAGTGGGTTCCATTTCAAAAACACAACCCGCCCTAAGGGTCATGACCCCTCCAATGCACACCCCTGGACCCTCCAATGGAGAACCCCGACCATTCAGGGGCCCTTGAAAACCAGTTTTGAGGGCCCAAAAACCATCCATCGAGATTCTCAGGGCGGTTCCCTTAGGTGAGCATAGAAATCCGCCTTGCAACGAGGCCACCTACAAGAAGCTGATCCAGGGCCTTTGTCTCGAGAAGAACGTGCCCCTCATCGATGCCTGGGGGCCCAAGACTTCCTTCAGACTTCCTTCGGTCGGCGTCCCAAAGAAAATGGCGCTTCAGCGCCAGCGCCAACGAAAAGTGTTTACCTCGTTTCCCCAGGTACTGTGGACTTGAGTGCTTGGACCATTGGTGGGAAATACAAAACATGGATACGTTTTTTGGGCCACTCGAAGTTAGAAAAGGGATCCTGAGAGGTCCCTTTTGGTGTGGGCCCCCTGGTCAAAGGGTTCCCAAGCCTTTTTCTCGGTACTTAGGCTAATTGGTGGATTGGGAACCCCTGTTCCTTTTGAAGCCAAAAGGGAAAAATACACAAAGCTGCGAGCCGCCAAACCAAAGCACCAACTAGGGGTAAGATGATTCAGGGAAGCTGGGTTTTGCTGGGGCAATAGTTGGTCTCATCTTACTTCTTTGCTCTTGAGGATGGGCACTTTCTCCAGGCAAATCGGCCAAGTCATCTTTTGGCTTCCAGTTTGGTTCATCCCTAGACGTTTCCCAACAGGACCATCCTGTTGACTGCCTAAGAGAGAGAGAGAGAGAGAGAGAGAGAGAGAGAGAGAGAGAGAGAGAGAGAGAGAGGAGAGGGAGAGAGAGAGCGAGAAAGAGAGGCGCTTCTGAGAAATTAGCATATAAAAGCAAACTAGCTGATGGCTAAAGCCGGTGATGTTGGTGATTGTGCAACAGGCTGCATCTCACCATGAGAGAGGTGTAGCAAATAGGACATTTGCAATGATGGGTTCCTTTGCAGGATGTCTTCCGTCCATGAATTTCAATGGTTGGAGCACCCTGCAAAATGGTTGGTGCACATTACTTGGATGTCAACGATGTCCACCAAAGAGTCCTCCATTAAAATTCACACCAAGCTCCTAAGGAGAACCCAGTCCTTTGAAGAAACCCATGAGGGGACAAAAAGCCAGTCCTTGAAGAACCCAATTGCATTTTATGGGTTTCAAAAATCCACCCCCCCATGAAGGGACGCTCTCTATTGAAAAGCTTGGGGCCGGTTGGGAACCAGGAAGTTGGATTTTCTCGTATGCCAAGGTGCCAGACAACAAGAGCCTTGGTGAATGGGCTGGACTCTGCAAGATCGACAAGGACCCACCGCACTCATTGTGGCCCCCTGTTTCTGGGACAGCTCCACATGGGTCTGTATTCTTTTGAGGGTGCCCCGCGTCTTTTGTTATGTATCGTTTTTGTTTTTTTTGGGGGGGGTTCGAGGGGAAACCAAAGGACACCCACATGTGTGTGTGTGTGTGTGTGTGTGTGTGTGTGTGTGTGTGTGTGTGTGTGTGTGTGTCTGTGTGTGTGTGTCTGTGTCTGTGTGTGTGTGTGTCTGTGTCTGTGTCTGTGTCTGTGTCTGTGTCTGTGTCTGTGTCTGTGTCTGTGTCTGTGTCTGTGTCTGTGTCTGTGTCTGTGTCTGTGTCTGTGTCTGTGTCTGTGTCTGTGTCTGTGTCTGTGTCTGTGTCTGTGTGTGGTGTCTGTGTCTGGTGTCTGGTGGCTGTGTCTGTGTCTGTGTCTGTGTCTGTGTCTGTGTCTGTGTCTGTGTCTGTGTCTGTGTCTGTGTCTGTGTCTGTGTCTGTGTCTGTGTCTGTGTCTGTGTCTGTGTCTCTGTGTCTGTGTCTGTGTCTGTGTCTGTGTCTGTGTCTGTGTCTGTGTCTGTGTCTGTGTCTGTGTCTGTGTCTGTGTCTGTGTCTGTGTCTGTGTCTGTGTCTGTGTCTGTGTCTGTGTCTGTGTCTGTGTCTGTGTGTCTGTGTCTGTGTCTGTGTCTGTGTCTGTGTCTGTGTCTGTGTCTGTGTCTGTGTCTGTGTCTGTGTCTGTGTCTGTGTCTGTGTCTGTGTCTGTGTCTGTGTCTGTGTCTGTGTCTGTGTCTGTGTCTGTGTCTGTGTCTGTGTCTGTGTCTGTGTCTGTGTCTGTGTCTGTGTCTGTGTCTGTGTCTGTGTCTGTGTCTGTGTCTGTGTCTGTGTCTGTGTCTGTGTCTGTGTCTGGGTCTGTGTCTGTGTCTGTGTCTGTGTCTGTGTCTGTGTCTGTGTCTGTGTCTGTGTCTGTGTCTGTGTCTGTGTCTGTGTCTGTGTCTGTGTGTCTGTGTGTCTGTGTCTGTGTCTGTGTCTGTGTCTGTGTCTGTGTCTGTGTCTGTGTCTGTGTCTGTGTCTGTGTCTGTGTCTGTGTCTGTGTCTGTGTCTGTGTCTGTGTCTGTGGTCTGTGTCTGTGTCTGTGTCTGTGTCTGTGTCTGTGTCTGTGTCTGTGTCTGTGTCTGTGTCTGTGTCTGTGTCTGTGTCTGTGTCTGTGTCTTGTCTGTGTCTGTGTCTGTGTCTGTGTCTGTGTCTGTGTCTGTGTCTGTGTCTGTGTCTGTGTCTGTGTCTGTGTCTGTGTCTGTGTCTGTGTGTGTGTGTGTGTTTGGGTTTTGTTTTTTGGGAGGGGGGTCGTGGTGGGGTACGTCAAGAAACAAACCAACTCCTGTTCACAAAAGATATGCTTGTCGCAGGTCGGCCCCTTTTGCTTACTACTGTGCTGTCTCTTAAAATGAATGTGTCTAACTATAGAGGCAGAATCTCACTTCCTGAGTTCATGAACCTGAAATTTGTTGGGTTTGGACCATTTGAGTGGTAAATATAAAAGTTTGGGGACTTCTTTTGGGGGTCATCCACTCAGCCAGTGAGAGAATCAACCAGCAGCGGGGTCGTAAAGGCTGGAGATGGGTTTGGCCCTTTGGCCTGTCGCCGCTTACGCCATCGACAGGACGGACTGCCCCGCAAGGTGGTGGGTGCGAGCTGCGTGGCAGTGACCGACTTCGGCGAGGAGGGCCAGGCTGGGACTGGGGCCCTGGCCGGGGCGCAGGGAAACCAAAGTCCAAAGGGCGGGCCCAAAACTTCCCATTGGCACAAGAATTCGTTTTTTTTTTCTCCAGCCTTTTGACTTGAAGCAGAAGGCCTCCCTATGGGCCATCTGAAACCTGTGGTTTGTATATAGGGCACCCCGCGCGCCAAGCATTGGCCTGGTGGTGGTGGGTCGACTGCTGCATTTGCGGATGCTGAGCCTGAGGTCGCACAAATGAAAAATTGATCCTACAGCTTGCAGGCTTGGTCAAGATGGCCCGGGCAGAAGCCCTAGCGTGAGCTCCGCAAGTTGCTCCAGCTGGAAGTGCAGCGCCCTCGACAAGATCTGTGCATCCTGCGGCATGAGGGCATGTCAGCGTGCCATCCCGCTGACACTTCAACCACGCTAGGGCACCAGGCAAAGCCGACATCGCCCGTTTCAGGCGATGCGAAGCCGCATGCCTGCGCTTCCCCATTTGGATTCCTCAAGCACCAAGTGCCAAAGGCAGCATACACCCGGAGACCAGTCCCGAACACGATTTGGATGCGCGACATGATTCTTTGTTACCTTCATAGCCATGGTGGTAGTACGCACTGCTTGTTTGCAAGCTGTCTGCGCGTGCTTGAATTCTTGTGTGGCTGTGCCTTTGTGCGAGTGCGTGTGAGCCCTCCCTCCTTGGTAATGGAGGCAGGGTGTCACCCTTTTGCTGCGGGGGAAGGTCGTGCCCCCATGGTGAGCGCGGGGGTGCAGTACTGAGAGCAGTGTGGCCAAGCTGTCGAAAAACCGAAGCTGTTGAAACTCCTTTGGCTTCATCGCAACAACCCTTAACCCGGTCTCTTATTTAATAACAACCCCCCCCTCAAATTAAAAAGAACATGGGGTCGGATGGAGTTGTTCTTTTTTTTTGTTTTTTATGCGGAGGGAATCCGACCACTTTGGGACCCCCCCCCGCCCCCTTCCATTTGCTGAACATATTTTTCAAGCCCCTCAGACACACCTAGCCCTGCAAGCTCCCCCCCGTTTCGGGTGGTTGGTGCGCCAGTTGAATTATTTATTAGTTGTTGTGTTGTTTTCCCTTGTTGGTTTCCTATAAAATGATTCGATTTCACTACAGGACATATTTTCTCGGGGGCGAACCACAAATGGAGGGTTAACAGATACGCAGGGTTTTGACCAGGGCAGGGTCTGACATATTGGTCGTCCTTAAAAATTAGATTGGGAATAAGAAGTGGCGTAGTCAATCCTGAGACATCGGATTTCTTACAGTATCGATCGGATGTTTCATGCTGATCGGGTTAGCCGAGCCGGGCAAGCTGCCTCAGTTTCCCAGTGGCGCCCTTGTTTCCTTTTTGGAAGGGCTCCCCTTAAAGTCAACCAACCAAAAAAGGACGGCCTTTTTTGTCTCGCATGGCTACTGAGCATCTGAGCTGCTAACATTGACACCATCCTAACCAACCCCAGTTTACTAATAGGGTGGATTCCCTGGTTGAGTGGGGAATCAGACCACTTTTGGAGGGGCCCCCACCCCCATATGAATAAACAGTGGTTGATTAATGCGGGGTCAGCATTAGTTGGGTTTTCAGCTGCCCGGTTGCCATCAGCTCTAGTCTCAAGTTTGAAAGGAATTTCGGAAGGTCATCCTTTGCTTGGACTTCCCCTTTTGAACCGGAAGTTCTGGGCCGCCAAAAGCCATGACTTTTTTTTTCCAGGGCGTCTCTGGGCTGAGTTCCGGGGCTTCCAATTGGATTTCAATTGGATCTGCGTGATTTCGCCATTTCGCCAAGGTGCCTTTGAAGCCCAGAGTGGTTCGTCATATCGACATCGGACTGATCCTTGCTTCCGGCTTGTGAATTGCTCCTTCCCCATGAAGTTACCATCTTTCTCATATTTGTCCCCTCTTGTAGCCACTTGGTGCCACTTGTCCAGGTGCCAGGTTTGTTCCTGTTGCTTCCTTCCAGGTTTGTTCCCCCTGTTGTTTGTTCTTTGGTAGCCACTTGTCCTGGTGCCTAGGAATTGTCGGGAACGAGCCGGGGATCGCCTGAAAGGAAGCCACCGGCAAGTGGCTTTGGTTTCTCTCGGGTGGTTTGCCATTTCTCATTCCCTTCCCTTCTCTCGCACCCCATTTCATGGGGCCATCTGAGCATGGTGGTTGGGAGACATGCTTCCCATGTTTGCATTTCTTGTGGTTGGAGTTCGGTTGAAATCCTCCAGCCACTGAACTGCTGATTTTTTTTGAGATCTGTTGCTCCCCAAGCCCAACGTCGACCAAGTGAGCGGCACGAAAAAAGCCTCGAAGCGAATCCGGAGGCTTACGGCTTCATGATGAAGCACTTGGGCAAGCGGTGGCCCCGGTCTGGCGGTGGACTAGGTCCCCCAGTGCCCTTTCTCACCCCTTTCTTGGTTGGGAGCTTCGGTTCCCCTACCAAAATAGACTACAGAAAAAAAGTTGGTGCCATTCTAACCTCTCAAATCTGGAGGACCTAGTGGATTTGGCTGCCATTTGGGCCGCCAGTTCCGCCAATCCCAGCAGTTTTGGTTTGGTTTGGGGGGGGGGGTTCGAGGGATTTGTAGCCCACGAGCTTTCAGCTTTTGGCAGACTCTGAAAACGGACAGCCCAGGGGCCTGGATCGCTGGGATTGGAAGCCCTGGGTCTGGTGGAGGGCAAATTTTGGGAACGCCCACCGCCCAGCCAAACGATTGGAAGCGGACCAGAGATGGGCGCTCAAAGGTGCAAGACAGACAAGTCCTGTGCATTGCTGAGGTGAAGTCTGCAAGATGACGCGTGACAGAGCCAGGGCCTACGGAGAAATGGCGTGCCGCAGTGGTCACTCTGGCTGAGGCGCCAGCAAGCCTCAATCGATCGAACAATGAGCTGATACCAGGGTTTCCCTCTTTGCAAGCCAGGGTCCCAACAGGTTTACCCTTTACTTCCGTGTCTTGTGTTTTGTTGTTTCCCCGGGCAACACGAGGCAAAGGACATGAAAAGCTTGAATTGAATCGTCAGCCGAAAGGGGTTTCGCTTCTCTCAACAATCATCGAAGTAGATAGGATACCTTTTTCAAGAGTAGTCTTCCCGCACTAAAAGGGAAATTCCCACCGGATGGACGCCCCTTAGAGGCTTCTTCCCATAAACCTCGCGGTGCAAAAGGGCCAACAACGGACACTTCTGAGGCAGTGCAGGGTCCAAGCCCCAATCCCACCAGGAGTCCAATGGATACCACTATGTAGACGCTACATCGAGGATATACACTCAGAACGATGATCTTCCATTTGTTTGTTTTCCCTTGTTGATTTTAAAAAGGAATTTATCACTACTGTTTTTTTTGCCCAGGGGTCTTAACCAAATGGAAGTGATAGACCTTCCCATCATCCCATTTCACACCATTTCACACCTGACTAGTCACTTTTTGGGCTTGGGCCGTTTCAGTGGCAAATCAAGCATCTCAGGACTTTGTTTGCCCAGCCCTGTCACACAATCTTTTTCCGCCATTTGAGAATGGTTTTTCTTTTTTGGAGGACCCTTTAACAGGGTGGTGGTTTAGGAAACCAAAGGAAGAGAGCTCATATTGAGGGGTACCCCACCCTCCTCCCGTCCACCTTCCCCCAAATCTCCACCCTGCCCTCTGGAGGGTTTTAACCACCTCGCTCGCGCAGCCTATTGGCTCCCGGATCCTCGAGCCATCCTCCCGGACCGCCAGCCGAGCCGAACATGTATACATATCCATATGTAAACGTATCTAGTCGCATGTAAATATACGTGTATATATATATATATACACGTGTCTTTTGGTGTGTATGTGGGTATCATACACGTGCGCTTGTTCAAACGATGATCAAGTCTCAATTGCAGCTGGACGTCAACCAAGAAGCGAATGCCAGTTGTCTCCGTGCGGCTCGTACCTCATTGATTTTAGCGTCGGGTCATGCACCGCGAGCTGCGCAGGGAGAGAGACGCTCAGACCTTCCATTTGGCGTGTCGCTGGTCGTGTTTTGCTGTTTCCAGCTCCAGGAGTTGGTCAGTTTCCTTTCGTCTAGCAGTGAAACCCTTTTGGTGTCCGTTTGAATC